TGTCAAATTGTCATTTTTTCTTTGTTAAATATTTATTAAATAAATGATTTACAGGATGTTCTGGAAAAGGGGGTTTTTCCCGTCTCTGACTCAAACGCAAATGAAATAGGCAAAACTGTAACTCGGTCGCAAACGAAATACGCAAATACGTAAAGATTTTTCGTGATTAATTTAAAGTTAAGAGTAGTTTAGGATATACAAATCGATTAGTCGTTGTAGGAAAACAATTTGAAGTTTAAAGAAATGATCTAATCCAGACATCTGGTGTCTTTTGGTATCTTTTTGTTTTGAATACATGTTTTAATTTTATGTTTTGGTTTTTGTTTTGATTTCGCTTTAGGAGTAGATTTTGCTTTTATAATCTTTTTTCTTTGCTTTCTATTCCCATAATTTCATGAACCAGTTTTTGTTTTTCTTGTTGTTTTTTATACTCATTACACTCTTTTTTCAATTTAGTTTTTTTTATCTTTTTTTATTTTTTTAAATCTTCAATTGATAAGTTATTTAAATCAATAGAGACCATACCTTTATTGTATGTTTAGATAATTTTTTAAATTTCAATTTTATTTTTCCGCTCACAGAAAATTCCACTTTTAAATTACTCATTTGTGAATTTTTCTTTGTACTCAATTGTGTACGTGTAACAAGCCAAAAAACTAATGATAAATCAGACAGCTGTCACTTTTGTCTATATTTAAATTAAAGTGTGAATAATTTGCATTTTGTCAGTTTCACTTTCCTAAAGGATTAGTAAATTAAACATTACAAGGTAAAACATTGTAAGATAGAACACTTTATACTCCTTTCCAAACAACACTGTAATTTTCAAGATTACGCAAAAGCTTCTGTTAATTAAAACAAGTAATTGGTAACTCTATAAACTAAATCATTTCCAAACGATGCAAAGACTTCTTTCACTGAATATTTCACAAACAAACAACGTTTCACTGAAAATTTCAGTCTGGTAGCTTTTCACTAAAACTTTCACTTTTATGAATGCAATTACTTTCGGATTAATTAAAAACGGGAAAAACCCCTTTTCTAGAATATTCTGTCAGTATTTAACAACGCAAAACGCTTGAGTCGCTAATAGTATTTGATAGGTAGTAGTTTGAATAATTTCTTATGGTGGTTCATTCGCCTTCGAGAGCCTTCGTCAGAGGTCAAGAAATGCTTTTAGCGATAAATTTCGAAGGTAGAAGTACGTTTTACAGATAGACCATTAGCTTCAAAATAACAGCGAAAGCAAGGTAAGAAAACATATGTTTTGCAGTTAGCTACGGCACTTGAAACACAAGAACAGGCAAACAAATTGACTTAAAACAACTGTGCACATAAGTTTTATCCTCGTTGGTCTGTTTCGCATTCATCTTTAGCTATCTTTCAGTCACCCGTTGACATTTATTCGTTATATCGAGATATATTTTACGCTTTCGTTTCTGAATGGTGCTCGTTATAACGACGATTTCGTTAAATCCAGGTTCTGTTCCATATATTTAGTTATAATTTTGGCCGGGCTGAAGAAAATCGTTCGTTAATATACCCAGAGTTATATAGAGGTTCGTTAATTCGAGGTTCTACTCTCGTCAAGCCGAAGGTGTGTGGTTCTTAGCACCCTTCCTTTCTTTCTTTCTTTTTTTTTTTTCGATCTTGTTTTGTTGTTTTTTAAAAACTACATATTTTCTTTTCCTATCAGCTTCTTTCGCTTTCTTTCTACTTCTGCTTCGCGCGGTTCTGCGATTGACGTATTTCTAGTTTCCGTTCAGTTATTTCTGTCATCCCTCCACCGTCATTTTACAAATTTTAATTTTTAAAAAAAAAAAATTGCTTTATACATCATTTTTGAGTTAATTTGAGTCACTAATACCTAACTGGCGTAAATTTAGGCTGTTTAAAATAAGTCAAAATGCTTAACATTTTCCGTAAATTATAGACCATAGACCGAAGGCTTAACATTATTGTCAAATTGTCATTTTTTTCCCTGTTGAATATTTATTAAATAAATGATTTACAGAATGTTCTGGAAAAGGGGGTTTTTCCCGTCTCTGACTCAAACCCAAATGAAATAGGCAAAACTGAAACTCGGACGCAAACGAAATACGTAAAGATTTTGCGTGATTAATTTAAAGTTGAGAGTGGTTTAGAATATATAAATCGATTAGTCGTTGTAGGAAAACCATTTGAAGTTTAAAGAAATGATCTAATCCAGACTGTCCAACCTTTTGAGTATGTAAAATCGGGATATTTTTCAATACGAATCACGTGAGTACCGATCGGGTGAACGACTTGGCGCAGGGGCACCCAACGAGAATATAGTTCAAACCACTTATATAAACATAGCATTGTTAAACATATTTTAGTATTTAAACGGTAGATATAGGCATATTTTCATCCCCTAAAAATTTTTCATCTGTTCTGATTTCCTAGCTGAAAGTCTTGTGATCCGAAAATTATAGGGATGAAAACTTACCGTTTCGAAAGTTTCAGCCAGAAAAAAGGCTTCCGAAAATTCTAGGTGACCTTTTGAGGGTAAAAATCCGTTTAAAATAGGCAATTATTATACCGTTATTTAGATGTTCGAAAATCCTAGGAGGGGCAGGCAAGCAAAAAATTTTACAGCAAATGTTCCGAAAATTTTAGATCTAAAATCGTCTTCCGAACAGATATTTTCCGAAAATTGTCGTTGGGTGCCCCTGTTGGCGGGTCTTGGGGTTTTTCCCCTAAAAAATTTTGAAATTTTGATGCTCTTAAAGCCATTTCCAGTGTTCCGAGTGGTCAATTTGGTCTAAAATGTTCACTAAATCGCACAAATCGATTGCCATCTCTTCGCTTATTATTATTTGCGTGTCTTCGCGTACAAGTACTCGATTTTAATTTATATTTCGTGCGGTTTTTAAGTTTTCTGGACCTCAACTTTAGTTAAGTATACTCTGTTAGGTGTACTTTTATGTGTATCTTAAGAGTTAATTTGAAAATATCAGAACAGATGTCAAAATCGGGATTTTTTACATCCCGATCCTATATTGGTCGGGATTCGGGATTTTTAAGCAAAATCGGGAGAATGCCCGACGAAATCGGGGTGGTTGGACAGTCTGATAATCATTTCAGAAAAGCATGAGCTTTGTCGATTTGATTAGTATAGGTAATAGCATGATTTGTAGTGATATTTGGCATAAATACCACGAGTGATATTTCAAAATTGTTACACGTAATTTCACGAGCCGATAGGCGAGTGAAATTTGAGACAATTTTGAAATATCACGAGTGGTATTTATGTCAAATATCACGTACAAATCATGCTATTATTTGTTTATACTACTACCTGCAAAAGGTTTGTAATTTTCACATGTAGGTATTTCAAGTTAAGGTGAAATACCACTGCTCTAAGCCAATCAAATTGCAGAAATTTCTCATGTAGTAGTATAAACTTATTACTTGAAGATTTGAAAAAAATGATATAATGAACAAAAAGAAAAACTAATAATTGCAGAAATTGATGAGATAATGAAACAAAGAAAAAATATTAAGAGCCAAAAACCAAAGATATCATCAAAACCTGTACCCATGCCCAAACCAAAATAAAAAACATTTGATGATTATTTTGAAGAGTGTATTAAAAATAAAAAGATTCCAAAAGACACTCCAAGTTACTTTAAAAAGCTCTAGAAAGAGCGATGAAAGAGTATAATGTTGGAATCAAACATGAAAAGTCAGCTCTTGAGAATTTGTGGACAATTATGTAATTGAAGAAGAACCAGGAGTTATGCCATTTTATGATTACAAACAAAAGAATCTTCTCAGTTACAAGTGTTTATGAGAAATCATAGAAATATTGTAAAATTCATTGATTTATCATAAGAGTGATGACCAATCAATAGGCAGTATTTGAGTCACATGTTTACCTCTGTAAACCCCAATATAAATCAACTGTCTGAATGCACGGGGAGGGTTTGAAAAGGTAGCAGGGAAAGGCAGGGCATGATGAATTATGAATTATTAAAAGTATCAATAGGATTCATTTTTATAAAGATTTCTAACACTCCTGATTAGTATGCTTAACTTTAATATGAAGGTCTCCTGTAAATTTGTCCAAAGTTTATTAAGCAATCACTAGTTTAGCATATCAATCACTAGTTTGATGTAACAAGGAGTAAAAACTGCATTTAGAATTTCATCTTTCTATTGTCTACATACAAACTAAACGTTTACATGCTTGCAAATATTACTTTTTCTCGTAGCAAAAGTTGATAGAGCCTAGTGCAGTTGTTAAATACTGAATTAGCACAAAAGTTATTGATATTAAAATGTTGCGAAGCCTGTGTTCGCCCCGGGGGTACTCCCCTATAAAAGTGACGGGGTGCTCGTCGGAAAATGTCGTGAACACCCGTAAAAGGTACCAGAATCTTGTTTTATGGGCGTGTCCCAAATTCATTTCCACCCCCAAGAGGTACCAATTCAACAACAACAAATTATATAACTGGCACTGCAAATTTTAATAGTAATACAGTTTAAAGATAGCTTTTGAACACTATCTTCTCAAGGACTTTTTGAAAGTATTGTCAAATCTTACCGAGACAACTCTGACAGCTGTCATTTAAAGTTTTAGCACCCTAAGCGGTACCAATGCTCAAATTGAAACCCCTAAGAGGTACGACGAGCACCCCCGTCATTTTTATGGGGGAGTAACCCCTCCCAGGGGGTGTTTGCCAGTTCGAAGAGCAAAACGTTTACCGTTATAAAAATAAGTATTATACATCAATGACTCAGCTAAAAATCCTCCAAGAGGGCCTTTTTCCCACAATCATATCAGTTTCATATCGCCTCTTCATCTTCAGTTATTTCTTCGCGGGTGTCCATTTTGCACTTCTGGGCGATTCTATACTCCGTTGCAACCATGGGGAACCCACGCTCTTAGTTGTAAACTGCAAATGGAAATAAAATAACAGATAAAATCTTACCTGTCTTGTTCTATTCTTGAACCTGCTGCGGTGCGATGTGAAATGGAAGCTGTTTTACGATGCGAAAACGATGTTCATGTCGACGCTTTGACCGTTGTTGATTTCACAATGCTGTGTGTCACAGGCTATATGTCTGAGGGATGGACCATTAGAAAAGTGATGGAGAGGGGGTGAGGGGGGTGGGGCAAAAGTTTAAAAAAACATTTTCCCCAGGAACACAAGAATCCCGCCAGCTACGCAGGCTAGGTCCAACATAACCCATATTATTATCGTGAGAGTAAATACTCTCTTGAATATTAGTACTGGATCTGAGGTATCGAAAGGTATTTTTTATACAGGCATTGATAAACCAAAGCAGACTTTATTAAACTTGGTTCTAAAACTCAATCTGCCAAATGACTGTAATAGCGCTTTGCACCAGGGGTTGCACTATTACTAAAACTAGGTTTCGTCACCTTAGAGCCCCCCGCGTGACTCTGACAAACTTTGCATTCTACTCAAAGGCTTTGTAGGTCTTTGAATTTGAATGAGCAACATGCTTTTGCGACGTGAAAATTGTTTATATTAAATAAAATTCGCAATGAGCGTTATTAAAATGTTTTTGAGCTTTATTCTAATATATAAAAGGCATTACAGCTATGGCGAGCAAAACTTGGTCCAAGGAACTCAAATAAACGGTTAAAATCAGGAAATAAAGCGACCTGATCAAGGGAGGCTACTGAAATCAAATCCCTAGCTCTGTCTCAGTCAGATAGCACTCTATGCACTGAAACATGACCTAACATTTCTGGCTGTGTAATACTATTAACTCCAAAACCGAGATTGGTAAAGGGAAAATCGAGTTTGTATGTGCTTGTCGTAAGCCTGTGGCAGAATTTTCTGAGCTGAAAAGTACAACAACATTAGCACAAACGGGAAATTGTATGAGTTTGTTATGATCTGTTGTTGTGCGGTTTATATCATAAGTACGTTAATAAAAGCACTCGGAAAAAAAAAGAAGAGCAACCTTTGCCTATAAGTTTAACCAAATGCACTGTTTTATGAACAGCTTTGAAGCCCTACTCTCCATACATTTCAAATACAAAAAGCCTTAATAATTTACAAGACTTTAAAAGGACTAGGACACACAGTCAGCTGATGCACATGCGCATTCTTGTTCCAGGATATTTATCCTCTAAATTTACTAATAAACTCTTATACTGGTCAGGTTCAATGTCTGAGTCACGGGAGAGAGTAAGAATTGGGGTGAGGCAAGAATGGGGTAAGTTCATTCAGCATCTTTTATTTAATGATTATATTTTTCTTGTAGATTTTTGAATATTTATAGGCACCAGGAGTCTGATCGATTATCATTTCATCCATTACTTTCATTTTATCAATGACTCTCATTTTTATCAAAATAAATATTAAAATAAGCTATTGCCCAGTGACATGTGACATCAACAAACTATTAAAAATATATACGACATTGAAAGCTATTGCTCAATCACATTAAAAATAAAATACTAAAAAATGGTTTCGTAATAACAAAAGGTGAAGAATTCTTAAAGAAAGGACGAAAAAGCTCCTTGCCAAACACGGATACACCAGCTCCAGGTTGTTTCAAGTGTAAAAAAACCAGATGCGATCTTTGTAAGAATTTCTTTGTAAGCTCCAACACGTTCTCTAGAGCCCAAACTGGCAAAACCTACTTCTTACAACAACAGCTGTCCTGTAATTCTACCAATGTCGTTTATTTAGTACACTGCATAAAATGTTGGCTCTACTGAATTCAAAGTTAGATTCAGGAACCACAAATCATCCATGAAAACTAGCAAGAAAACTTGCGAAGTTGCTATACACTTTAATAAAACACCACATATTTTCTCTGACTTCACTTGCCAACGGATAGACCAAATCCCTACTAGCTCAAATCATAACACAGACAATCTACTGATGATACTGGAGCGCGCAATTATTTTCTCTTGCTCCTTTTGGATTAAATAAACGACAACAATTTCACTCAAAAAATCGCATTTACTATGCATAAAACTCTATGGATTTTTCCTGCTAGGTGGGGTTCTTGTAAATGTCCTATTAAACAGCTTTAAACAATGTTTGATCCTTTTACTGTGGTAGGTCTTTACTGTATTCATAGTTATAGCCGGCTGCTGCCGGAGCGCTTAGGGGCCCTTTTCAGGAATCCTGTTATGTTTGTGATGGTCTTGCTACTCATAGGCCTTTGGTGGGGATTTTATTATGTCTAGTTTAAAGGTTCCACTTCAGGATTGTGTTTTAGTATTTAGCTATATGAATGTTCAGGGGCTATGAATTGGGAACCTATTGCGCTTTGGCAGCTTTATTATATCATTGTAATTTAAGAGCAACTCCATGCAAATATCGACCAAAGTGCGGCAAGGCTCAAAAAATAAAAATCGCTCTTCTTTTGCATACTGATAGACTTTAGTAAGTGTACAAACGCCATGTAGTTTTTTCTTCGAAAAATCTGTTCGTTTCCGAGAAAAACAAGAAAATCGTTTCAAGCCCCGCCGTCGATTTCGCAAGCCGAAAACAGGGTTGAAATTCACTATGATTCGCTCGACTTGCATTTCAAAACAACCGCGCTAGAAAAAAAGCTTGTTGCTGAAATTGTAAGTATAACTCTTCGTTGACCAAAATATATAATATTTTTCGCATTACAACAGTCTGAGTAATTATAAAAAAGCTAAAGCGTATGTCTACCTGTTGTTCAACCACGGAAGGTAGTTGAAAAAAACGCCGATTTTCATCATGTGCCTTTGACCAGAATTTTTCAGGATTGAAGGGGAAAACACTATAAGCATCAAACTATTATGTTATGTTAAAATTATTTTGGGGAAATCATTTTGAGCTTCTCAGAAATTATTTGAAATTCCTGTTACAGACAACATAAAATAACGCCATCCAACATATGAGTCACGCGACCACCACCAACAATTTGACTTTAGGTTTCCGTTTACAACGCTGGTAGCCTTGATATGTAGAACAATGTTTTTGAAAAGCTCACCTTAACCTGTATCTGTTGTACTTCAAGCTGCAAGTTGTTTCATTTTGCCGTCTTATCACCTATGTTACCGTAGTCGTAAAGTCCGCTGGAATGTGTGCGTTCACACTGTAGCATTGTGGAGGTGCGTGACAGCTTTCTGGTAATTTCTTCATCCTTCTGTTTTCTCTAATGTTTTCAAGTTAACATCTCATACTTGTTAAAAATTTTGAGAAACCTGGACCTTAAAAAGCCGTCTATAAAATAAAGCTCGGTAGTTTAACAAAGCAAAGTTCCTTGCTCGTGGATCCGTTCACTTCAATTAAACTCATTTGCATAGGAGTGTGCCAAAGGTCTACTTCCGGTGAAATACACGTGACGAGCTTTACCGACTTTCACCCGTTACTTCCAGTACACTGAAGAAGATCCATCTTTTATACTCCTCCTTCTTCAAAAGTCTCCAGTTGACATTATTTTACCCGAGAATTGACGTTTTAGGCGTTTGATTAACTTTATCGAATTAAATTTAGTTTAATTTGATTCAACTGTTCACTCCCACTGGAAAAAGAAAAAGATCTTTGCATAAACACTGTTTGTGTGCGCTCTTCTTCGATGAAGCTATGGAAGGTTCGTGCTCCTTCGAGTCATTAGTAGGTACTCTGTGTTCGTTTGATAGAAGGGATAAGCAGAGATCAACTGAGATTGTTCCTTTGTCGTTGTCAAACTATTAAGGACGTAACCGGGCATAGGTCGACATGGTCTCTTTCTGGTATTGAAAGCGAAACAGACTTTATTTTAGCTCAGAACTGACCAGCCGGACCATTCCCGTCACAATGATAATTTCCCTTTTGATCAAACTCTTTAGCTAGATCAGTCAAAACCGAAATAGTATGCTCGAAAGAGAACGTTTTTCAACAAAAACTCTTGGAAAAATCCTATTTCATTTTCAAACTGACCGGTCAGGCGATGGTTTAGCCGGCCAGTTCTGACAGATGGAAAGCGCCCTAAGTTCCTTTAAGATATGCCCTTTCCATCTTTCTGAGCTCGGTATTGGATGGGGACGGAACAGTTATTCCAATTCGTGCCAAGTTCCAAAGGAAATCGCCAATCACGTAATTGAAAGAACAGGGAAATCTGTTAAAGCCGACAAAGGAGTTAGAGGAAGAAAATTTCAGAATATATCTATCAGCAAACCGGTATCCTCATTCCTGTAGGTTCAGGTGCTCTTGGTTTATAATTTATTGTATTATATTCTAATAAGTCACTTAGGTTCAATCCGCGAATACTATATAAAGTTTACCATAGTTGTCAACTCTCTTAGATAACCCAGAGTCTCCCGGGTACGGCACCAATCCACCTAATCTGTCGGATAAAATAAAACTTTCAGTCTTTCTTTTAGTTTGAAATTAAACCCGATTTCCCCTAGAGTAAATATTTTATTTTTTGTAAAAGTTAAAGATCATAGTACTAGTCCAGTTTTGATGGCATTTGTTGTTGTCGTTGTTGTTTTTTGTTTTGTTTTTGTTTTACATTTCCTTCAAACGACTGACTCGTACCTCATTCAAGACAACGTGTGGGGGATATGCGTCGGATAGAACTCAACGATTCCACATTCGAACAGCAAAACAAGTGGTCGATGCAACTCTTGGAGAGATTGCAACCTCGTTCCCAGGGTTCTCTCCTACCCGCTCTATGGACGGACGGGTAGGAGATTGCGCCAGAAGACGCTGAAAAACTCTGGGTATCCTTAGTTCAATCTCAAATTGTAGCAGACCAATGACGAAGCCATTGACTTCAAGCTCAGTAGCAGATGCGCTTGCAGAATGTTACAAGAACGCAGGACACTGGGGATCACGAAGAGAAATCTCTTAGGGACGTACCATTAGAAAAGTTATTGGGGGGGGGGGTGGGATTTTTGAGCCGCAGGAATTTTTTTTTCGTTATCAATTTCCTTGTACGAATTTTTTAGGCCGTAGCATGAATATTTTTTAGGGTTAATTGGCGTGCATGAATTTTTTTATTTAATTTTCCCTTGCGATAATATTTTTCTGGCACTCCCCACCACCCCCATAAGTTTTCTAATGGTCCGTCCCTTATGTCACTGAGACAAAATGGATTTCGAAATCTTGCAAAACTGGCTTCCTGGTCTTACTCGGCACAGGTTAAAGATCGCAAGGCACCATCGGATCCTTCATGGCCGAGGTTCTGTTGTCTCCGCTGTTTCTTCCAGAAGAATGTACTTTTTTTTGTTTTGGAAATTGTCTTATTTCAAATGTACTAACAAAAAAAACGTAAATAGTGTTTGTTTCAATTCACGAAAAGTGACATTTAGCACAGCAGAAATTATATTAATTTTGTCCTTTATTAAGAAGGCTCTCTGAAATAACGCACGTGCAGGCCAGGATTACCCAAGTGCAGCCAACAACTGGAAGTTCTACCTGTGAAGTTGGGAAGAAAACATGTACACAATTTTTTGTTAAGACATCTTTTGATTTGATAATGCAATGCCGACGTCTCGAAGCAATGAAAATCTTCAGCGAGGCTACCAATTAAATTCTTCATTTTCAAAAATTGTATATTACACGCATGTTTTACGTTTGCTTCTCGCCTGCTTTTAGCGGATCCTGACCCCGTGGCCCCGGGATCTTGACAGCTGTAATCCGATATCACTGTTGAAAGTAATTTGCATACTGAGTCACAAAACGTCCGTAGGGCGTTTTATCCTTCAGATTGGCGCTTCCTTCTGCGGTATCCAGCAGCATTTTGAGACAAAAGTTGTTGACAGATAAGGAAGAGAGGGTTTACTACGTGTTGAATTAGCATAAGCGAACTTCGTTATAAAGCATGCGTGTTGGTTATGAGTCTCAAACAGAGTTTAATATAGAATGGCAAACTTGAACAGATGGCAACGGGAAACATTTTGCCGTAAACCTAGACCTGAAACAAAGAATAGGGTAAGTACTTTAACATTTAGAACTTTGTTTGTGAATATTAGCTAGACTTTTTAGGTCAGACGTTTGATGACCTTTGCCTGGTCGACTGACGATGGTCACGCATATGTTAAATATGGCGTTACGTTATGTTGTCTGTAAAACGATTTTCAAATAATTTCTGAGAAGCTCAAAGTGATTTCCCTAAAATAATTTTTACATAACATAAACGTTAGATGCCTGTAGTGTATTTCCTTTCAATCTGAAAAAATTCTGATCAAAGGCACATGATGAAAATCGTCGCTGTTTTCAACGACCTTTCGTGGGTAAACATCAGGTAGCCGTACGCTTTAGTTTTTTTATTATTACTCAGACGGTTTGTAATGCTAAAAATATTATATATTTTGATCAACGACGAGTTAAACTTAAAATTTTAGCAATAAGTTTTCTTCCTAGCGCGGTTGTATTGGAACGCGGTCCGTGCACACTTCGGCCAATCTAATTTTCCATTTTCCCAACAAAAACGGAAAAAGGAAATATTACTTATCCTTATCATATTTACATATTTTAAAGTACAGAAAAAAAAAAAAAAAAAAGAAAATGGTCAGAGAAATTGATCATTTTTTCATTTTTCTTATTTTGAAGTCCGCTTTAAAAATACAAAAAATACTGTAAAAGGCTAAAAGAGATATTTTGCTATTTTTTATTTTCTTGATATTGTTAGAAAATGACAAAAATGAAATAATCTCCGATTCTTAACTCATTTTTCTATTTTTCTGCTTTTCGCAAAAAATAGAAAAACGGAAAAATGAAAAAATCATATTTATTCGCACCATTTTTTCATTTTTTCCATTTTGTTCAAAAAATGAAAAAATAGACAAATAGCATGCCTATCGCCTAATTTTCCATAATTCCATTTTAACAAGAAAAATGAAAATATGACAAGTGTTGCGAGCAATTTTCTATTTTTCCTTTTTTTTTGGATAAATAGAAAAACTTTAACGATACACCCTTTCAGACAGTTTTTCATTTTTTATTTTATTGAAAAATGGCGCAGAAAAGTGAGAAGTTATGAATATTTTAACGGTGAAGAAAGGAAAAACCTAATTCGTATCCACTATCGACTCACTAATTTGGTTGGTTTGGTTATTTACACAGGGTCGGTGGATATGTGGGGGAATTTGGGGGGGGGGGCGGCTTAGTTTTCGAGATGCAGACGTAGTTCCATTTACTTTTGATCTCGATTTCTCTGAAGGTTTGAGTTGTCGGGAGTCGACTGTGGATGAAAGCGGCGGGAAAGCCGTACCGTATCGGTTGTGGAAATGAAGCATATGAGAAAGGGTACGAGGGAGGAGGAGAAGGCCTGAAAATTGGTACGGGAAAAGGGGGGTAACTCAACGGTTTTCATGCCAGCAACACTACGGTCCCAGCACAAAAAAAGCGGTTCGTCAGAGAGATTAAGGGGGAAACAAGAAGGTCGTTGGACACAAAATAAAGAAAGCACACCCAAGTGAAGAGGTCAGACGCTTTTAAATGAAATAGATGCTGAAAAGTAGAATGCTTAGCCTGCCGAAATAACGGATCTTGCCGCAGAACGGGTGTTTTAGGATTGCAAGAGTAAAGTATATTGAATTATTATTGTGTAGGAGAAACATAATGAGGCGCCTAGTATACACTCGCTGAAAAGAACATCTTAATGCTCTGGCCCATACATTTGCTCATACATTTTTTTAAACGTTGGATAGCGACGATCCACCGGATAAATCACTATCCAGCGGGCTGATAATTTTTTATGTATTTTAGGGAAACCAATTGCGTTAATCACTGGATAGTTATTTATCCAGCGGATAGCGTTATCCACCTTTTAAGCAACTCAGCCCTGGAAAGAGGAGAGCAAAGACCAAGTATGGGGTAACGTTCCACAGTTTAAATGCAACAGGAACACTTTACGATGACGCAGTGTTAGAACAGGTCACAGAGTGAGTCCTCAGTAATGAGGTAGAAGAATCAGCTAATCAAATCCAAAAGTGAATGAAACTACGTTCGCATTCCGAGAACTAAAGGGCCCCCACCCGCCCTCCCCATCCCACGTCTCCGCCGACCCCGTGTAAATCGTCTAACAAAACTAGTAAGTCTAAAGTGGATTAGGTTTTTCTTGTCTTTTTTAGTAAATGTTCATGATTTGCAATTTTTCTTTGCTATTTTTCATTGAAACAAAAGATGAAAAATTGTCCGTTTTTTTGTTTGTTTGTTTGTTTTCTATTTATTGAAAAAATGGAAAAATTGTTCGCAACACTTGTCCTTTTTTTCATTTTTCTTGTTAAAATGGAATTATGGAAAATTAGGCGATAGGTATGCCATTTTTCTATTTTTTCATTTTTTGAACAAAATGGAAAAAATGGTGCGAATAAATATGATTTTTTCATTTTTCTGTTTTTCTACTTTTTGGGAAAAACGGAAAAATAGAAAAATGATCTAGGACTCGGAGATTATTTTATTTTCCTCACTTGTCTAACAATATCAAGAAAATAAAAATAGCAAAATATCGCTTTTAGCCGTTAACAGTATTTTTGTATTTTTAAATTTAACTTCCAAATTAAAAAAATGAAAAAATGATCGATTTTACTGACCATTTTCTTTTTTTCTCTTTTTTTCTGTACTTTGAAATATGGAAATATGATAAGGATAAGTAATATGTCCTTTTTCCGTTTTTGTTGGAAAAATGAAGAAATAGATTGGCCGAAGTGTGCACGGACCGAACGCGAGTCCAGCGAATCATGATGAATTTCAACCCTGTTTTTGGCTTGCGAAATCGAAGGTGGGGCTTGAAACGGTTTTCTTCGTTTTTCTCGGAAACGAATAGATCTTTCGAAGAAAAAAATACATAGCGTTTGTATACTTACTAAAGTCTACCAGTCTGCAAAAGAAGAGCGATTTTGATTTTTTTGAGCCTTGCCACGAATCGGCGATTTTGGTCGATTTTTGCATGGATTCGCTCTTAAACTTCTATATGTTACGTAACCTTCATTCAATAATATCTTTAGTTTTATTTCTATGCTGTGTATTTTGTATTTTAATCCGCTACGTACCCTTTGTTCATTATTATCCTTTGTTTTATGTTCAATTTGTTATGTAACCTGTGTATATTTATAGTGTTAATTGTTGTGCTGAGTATACAAGCCTTGTTTGAAGTATTATTATTATTAGTAACTGATGGAGGTCTTCTGACCGAAACGTTTTAGTAAATTTTATTATTATTTTTTTTTATTATCCAAACGTTGTCCACTTTTCAGCTGAAAAAGTTCTTGAAAATCCATAAGCTCTCAATTTGGCAATCAATAACGGGAAATCAAGTGAATCGAATGCTTTAGACATGTCAGTAGAGAGAACTCGTTCCAATTTGTTGTGAATTTTGTTTCCCATCAAGAGCTGTTGATGTAAGGAGAGATTTCCCATGTATTCTCTATTTGATTCGAATTTCATATCTAGCTTTTAAATATTCTCTTTGAAGTTGTGTTAGCCGTAATTTACGTTGAATTTGCATTGAGTTGTTTTAGTTCCCTTAAATTATACACATTTTACTTCAATGTTTACTTTTAAAAGGATAATTTGTTTCTGGATAATTATACAGCTTAGTCACTGAATAATTAGATCTTTCGCCTGTTCAAATACAAACCGTTCGTAGTTTTTAGTTTTGACATTTTAGGGAATCCTGAGCAAAGGAAATTCTAACTCTTTTACACAGCTTTCTTTGTAAATTTCCTAAATTCACTTGTTTGACTGACATGTAATTTTGAGTTATTTTATTTAACATATGAACCTTGAAACTGAATTTATCCAGATTTGTTTTCGCTGTTCAGCTGATTTTATTCAGTCTTCTTTCCTTTTGTTCTGTGATGTTCTAATAAGTTGATCGGTTAGTATAAATAGAACAATGTTATTCCTGTTTTACGATTTACATTGCGAAGTTATATGCTCGTCGATTTTACATTGCGGATTTAATTGATTGTACAAGTTACGTTAACGAGCCGAAGATTAAACTGATGAAGTTCAAGCTTGAGTCCTGTACTGTTTCCAGTTGTAGCAGATCCGGTACCTTGGAATAGTGACGAGTTCCTTTCCCGCTTGCCAAGCGAGTTGCGAGTTAGTTTTCCCCCTTGTTGTCCTTACGCCGAAGTCACTCGAGTTCTCTTTACGCTTAATTTCCCGATTTGTTGCTGGAAGGGCAAAACTTATCGTCACATTGAGAACTTACCAATATTTGTATTGACATAATGCTTATTGGATTTGCTAAATCTTGATTAACAATTTTATTTTTAGTGATAGCAACCCCAGAGAATGTTGCACAGTTTTTAGTTACAAAGTTACCATCAACATACCCTTTATTAGCTGCTTGATCATTGTTTATTATATATGTAATTATTTCTGTAGTCTAAATAAGTTTCCATTGGAAACACCGATTCTTTTCTACTTACAAATATCTCTCGGGTATCTTCATTTTCGATTGGTATTTAAAGTTTGAAAATCTTGCTTTTTGCTTCCAATGACATTGTTATTACCTTTAAGGTCAACATCTTCAGGGGGGTAGCCAGGATTTTTCCAGAGGTACGCCCAACTTTTTCTACATTATCTCCCCCTCCCCCCTCCTCTTTAAGGTGCCTTTAAGGTGGGGCTAACGGCTGTGAGCCTAGTAAGCATTTTTTGCTGTTTATGAAATGACGCAACCTCTTAAATTCTTTAATTCTGTCGGCTTATTGGGTTCATGGATGTCAACCTTTAATCATTAATTCAGCTATTAGTAGTACCTCCGACTTTAGTTTACAAATGACTGTTTTTTTACTGCTTTTTGTCACATTGTTTTTGACCGACAAAAGCACCACACATTGACGTTATTGTGCCCTACTTCGTCTACTGAGAAGACAGGTCAAGGAAGAAAACAACGCGTTCACGCTTTACCTCATAGAACTTGGTATATAAATTTATCATTCAAGATTCGATTCACCAATTAATGTCGTCGCTTAGCTTCGCTTCGCTGGAAACCGACTTTTTAAACTATATTTTATTTCATTTTATTTTTTCTCCTCAACTTTTTCGGGTACGCACGTGCGTATCGTGCCTACAGGTAGCTACGCCCCTGATCTTGTTTATCATATAATTGCCGAATCAAGTTCATGTTTTGTGATTGCATCGCTGTAATCAGTACCTTCAGCTAAATTTGTCACTTTTTTAATTATCTATATCTCATATCACAGTTATTGTTTGCATCTCTTTTTATGTTCGATCCTTGTATTTTTTGAGTTATGCTTTCTAATATATTGACTAATATCAACACTGGAGTATTTATCAACAATGTTGAAATTCCCATTTTGTTCAATAGCTATATAATCTTCATCAAAATCTATCTTAACAACGTATTAAAGAGATCCGTATCTGTTAAAATTTCTTTTGCAAAGAGATTTAGATGGTTTTTAGTGACAGGAGGATACTAATACCGAACAGTTTAATCGCAGCTTTTGCGCAACATCATAATAAGACTGACTTAAATAAATCATCGGGGACTAATCATATGATGCCTTCCATCAGTTAATGATTTGCAATTTTATTTTGTACTTGGTTTGAAGCATTTACCAAATCATCAAAAACAACATGCTGTGGTACCTAAAATATCATCTGCGTTTCCTAATTCAAGAACATTGTAACCAACCGGCTTTTTGTGATATCAGTTATCCATAATATGTTGAAAATCAACCATTTTTTCTTGATGTAAAGAAGTGTAAATGAATATTTTATCATAATAGACCAATGGTTCTCTTAAAACTTGCATAAGAGTGTTTGTTTTACCACATCGAGTTTGACCAGTTATTAACATTCGAAAATCTTCATCAAGAAAGTCGTTTAGCTTTCTCTTTGATTCCTTATGCTTTTATCATAGTTTTTTGGCATTTTCATTTTTATTATTAGTTTTAGATGATAAATAAGGTATAAAATGCAAATGGTATTTCAGAATAAATAATTACATAACGCTTATAGTAAAAAATGGATATTGCAATATTAAAAAATACGCTGATTCAGCTTATGATGTTTACAATATATCAAGAGCTGCGACAGAAGTTAAGAATGAGTTAAAAATTTTAGAAAAAGGTGCTGATATTGTTATGAGTGATTTTTCAAGACATTGAGAGAACCCATATTATCAATGAGCAACAGAAAAAGACAGACGAAAAACAGGATAAAGTAATTCAACAGCTGAAAGAAAATCAACAAGCTCTTACTTCATTTTTTTAACAAAATGACTGAGCTGCAAAACCACGTTAGCAGCTTCCAGCACCATCAGTTTTAGTTTCATCTCCAGAAGATGAGGAGGATTTAGATGAAGATGGAGAAGAATTACCAGAACAAGCACTTTTATCAACAAAAAACGGGTAGAAAAATATGACTTGCATGAAAATTTGAAAAATAAAGAATTAGAAGAAATATTGAATTAATATGGATATGAATTACCATCATTTTACAACGATAATGATGATACAAATATTAGTATGTCTGATGTAGTCAGATGGTGACGAGTGAAATAAGGAAAATAATTTTACGCGCGTCTCGTAAAAATCCATACACACCTTTTACCTCGATTATCGGGAAATAAATTTTTAATAAAGTTAAAATATTATTCATTTTAATTAGTGTAAAAACGGTTTAGCCAGGGAAGCAAACATTTAAGTTTGTGGCATAGTCATTAAAGATTTTTGAATCAAGAAGACTAATTTAGGGCCATTTTCTATAGCGTTTTATCGAAAACAACATTCTTAAGTGCGAATGAAGTTTTATTCTCCTTGCGTGATTGTTCTTTTGTGAGAATAGAATATCAATTATAATTATTATTTTTATCAGCATTATCTTGCCAATATCGCGTTGAATTGGGGGGTACGTTGAAACATACAGATTCTCTTTGCCCATGACGATCCTTTGATAGTCCAGAAAGCCATAAACTCTGACTTATCATACGTAGAAAAATGGTTTTTGGAAAATGGCATGAAAAGAAAACACTCTAAACACCAGGCTATGGTGATCAGGGGCGTAGCTACCTGTACGCACTGTACGCACGTGCGTACCTGAAAAAGTCGTGCACAAAAAAGATATAAATTGAATAAATAATAAAAAATAAAGTTAATTCTGAAAAGAAAGCAAAATATCTAAAGGTAGTTATTTTAAGAGCACAGTTTGCCCTCAATTCATTCAACTCTGCTCGTGCTGGTTTCCACAGAAACGAATTCGAAGTAGTTCACTAATGGACCGAATCTTGAATGACATATAATTCTGGTGAAAAGATGGCAGGCGTTTTTATCAAAAACGTGTTCGGATTCCTACCCATTCATGCACATCGATAAATCCTGGGAGCAACGACGAGCGGGCGACGACAGCTGCGGCGGCAACGGCGACAGTAACGGCAACGGCAACGAGAACGTCAAAGGAAACGAACCCAATAAGTAAATAAAAAACAACAAATTTTGCACATATAGCGCGGTTTTCTTTACAACCCGTGTGAACACGACGCTAAATTTCCTTTTGGGACGTTGTTTGGCCAGGACGTAAAACCACAGGGACAAATTCAATTTCTTCTGTGAGTCTGAACTTGGGTGCAGTCTCCAAGACTCGGTAGGGAAGTTCACCTACATTTGCCACTTTATGAGAGCTGAAATAAAAGCGAAAAAATTAAAACAAAAACCGCTTTCGTTGCCCTCACCGTCGTCGTTGCTAAGGCGCCTTACATTCTTGAAAGCGACAGTTCCATGTTTTACTGCAAGCTCGTATGATCAAATGCGGAAAAGTATCCGAATTCGTTGGACAAATTGTTTACACTACAAAACATTGCATCGGATTCACTTTAGATTTCGGATTCAAAATCTATAGAGACTTGACCAAATAGGATTCATGCGCTGCATCTGCTCAAAAACGACAAAACGAACCCAGTAACACAATTATTCGGATTCCTTACTTTCGAATCCGAAAAAGTGTGTAGCCTTATAGTTTGATGGATCGAAACACGCGACACTAAAAGTGTTATTAATACTAGTTGCTAATATCATTTCATATGCAGAAAAAGATGCTTAGCTTACAACGTAACCAAATCTTTAATCAAGGTTTTTTTGGGGGGAGGGGGAAGCTATTTGGAGAATTGTGCGTAACTCTGAAAAGATCCTGGCTACGCCCCTGGTGATGGGCTAGAGGAAAGTTAATACGAAATTTCGCTGCGAAAATAACATCATTCCAAATAGCGATGCTCTACAGATGCTTGGAGTTACTGTTGATGATATGTTCAAATCGCTAATATCTGTAGAAAAGTATCACAACAAGTTGCAATTTTGAAGCGCATGAGAAATATACTTTCTTTCGATACAAGAAAGAATATTTACATGTCATTTATTGTACCACATTTCGATTATTGTGCACAAACCTGGCATTTCTACTGCAATAATATTTCTACGGTGGCCGATAGGAACAAAACAGAATCACAAAACCCAAAACAGAAACACAAAACTCAAAACAGAATCACAAAACCCAAAAATCGCAAAATTTAAAACAGAATCACAAAAGTCAAAACAGAATCACGAAACCCTAAAACAGAATCCCAAACGCAAAACAAAATCAAAAAACCCAAAACAGAATCACAAACCTCAAAACAGAGTCACAAGACTCTAAAACAGAATCGCAAAACTCAAAACAAGGGTTTTGTGATTCTGTTTTGAGTTTTGTGATTCTGTTTAGTTCCTATCGGACACCGTAGTTTTCGGCTATAAAACCGGAGAAAAACGGTTATTGCGAGATAAGTATTTCTAGTTGTAAAAAAAAGAACATAAAATGAGGCTTTCCAGGTGCCATGGATTGAAATCCAGTCCTCACAAAAAAGTAACATCATTTGCGGTATTGTTACCCTGCGAGCAGAGGCCCCTCGATCTCTGCTCGCAGAGTACGGGTTGTATACAGACAACATAATCCTCCGAAACGGTTCCAAGAATATTTTGACGAAACTCTTGAAAAACAAATAGCTTCAAACAAATTAGTTTATATCACGGCCGACTTCAACACAAATTTACTGCACGCCGAAAGCTCCCGCTATGCTCAGGAATTTTTACTTTCTCTGCAAAGCTCTCATTTATACCAACTACTTATAAACCAACACGTGTGCATAACAGCTGTACCACCTTAATCGAGAATATTTTGACTAACAAAGTTGATGCTAATATCACCAGTGGCAATATTGTCTCTGATATCAGCGACCATTTTTCACAGTTTTGTGTCTCCCACACCTTTTTTAAGAAGCCGAAGTCGAGAAAAGAAAAGCGCAGAGATTTTTCTGGTTTCTTAGGTAATAGGTTTAACTCTGACCTCTTGGACGCACTCTTAAACCAAACTAATTTTGATGATCGGTTCGATGTCGACAATGCTTTTTCTCATTTCTATAACCTGACGCTGTCGCCACTTGCCGAGAAACACGCTTCTTTGGAAACCCTCTCGAAACGCAAGCTAAAGCAGTTTTCTGAGCCATGGATAACCAGTGGCCTCAAAAAATCTACCAATTGAAAGTGAAAAATTCCCTTTTTCAATCAGACGATTACGTACAATACAAACTCTATAGAAATAAGATTTCTACTCTTACTAGGTTGAGTAAAAAGAATTATTATCACGCAGTCTTTGCTGGCCTCACAATTTGAAAAACTTGCATAACAAATGATCCCCTTGAGATTTCTAACATTTTCAACAACTACCTTTTCTTCGGTTGCTGAAAAATTAGCGTCACGGGTTACGCCTTCTTCTTGCGGTTTTACCGAGTATTAGTCTCCCGTTAATAATCCAAATTCCTCCTTTTTCGATCCAGTCTCTCCAGAGGATATTGAAGGTGAAGTACAGTCTATTCCTAGAAATAAAACTTACGGTGGCTTTACTCTTGTCCGATCCATATTTCATCCGGTGCCAAACACATTATTTCTAGCGCTCTATCCAACATTATCAACATCTCTGTGCAAGAAGGTGTCTTTCCATCCAAATTAAAGCAAGCGAAAGTTATTCCTGTCTACAAAAGTGACGATGAAATTGAACCCGAAAATTATCGGCCTATTTCATTATTATCTATTTTGAATAGGATATTTGAAAAATTGATGTACCACGGCTCAAAATCTTTCTTGTCAAAAACGATATCCTATCATAATCAGTTGTAAAATTGGCAATGAAGGGAGGCTAAAACTATTTCAACTTTCAAGAAGAGGGTTGCCTCTTTTCTGAGAGAGAAGCAGCAATTATAGTTTTAGAACTGCTTTAGTGGAATATTTTACTCTATTGGTATTTTTTAAATTTTACTCTTCCATGTAATATAGCTTTTTTTCTTACATCGGGAACGTCTCTAGTATTAGGCTCGTAAGCTATCGATTTTGGATGTTTCCCCTTTACAGGATGTAATTTTGATGTATAAATTATATATTTGTGGAGTGAATGTTAATAAAGTTAATAAAGGTTCAAAACTTACACATTTTTACGTTTACTCGTCTGTGTTCAGGAGACATGTCTATGGCGGGAAAAGAGCTGGAGGCTTTCGAAGCGTTGGAAGTCTGCTCTATTGGCATTGATGTTGCGGATTTTCTTATCAACACCAATCGGGTAGTTAAAGGCATACAGTTAGCTGAAGAATGCCTCATTTTCCTGAACAACACGGTGCTGAGGGAAAGTACCAAAATCTTCAATATACTCTATCGTAACATAAGTGTCATAATCTCCAACGCTTATAGTAAGATTTATGATTACACAAGAGAAATTGAATGGAGCGAAAAACTTCTTGAGGGCACGGTCCAATTATCTGGAGAATTTAGTGATGAGGTGGGCTCAGTAGCGATGATGCTGGCAGTTTTGTATAGACGGCAACTTAAATATGAGAAAGCAAAGGAACTGTCGGAGAAAGCACTGCGCATCAAGCAAGAGACTGGCAACAGAGACCATGAAGCAACGTGTTACAGTGACCTCGGGGGACACTTTCATCATCTCGGGCAATACCATAACTTTAAGGAATGTATCGAAAAGGCACTTGAGATAAGAAAAGAAATTGGTGACAAAAAAAAAATAGCTGAATGCTATGGACACCTAGGGATGGTATTTGAAGCACTCGGACAGTATGACAAGGCCATGGAATATATTGACAAGTCACTTTTGATAAGAAGAGAAATAGGAGACAGAAAAGGAGAAGCAACAGATTACATATACAAAGGAAAAGTGTCTTACTCAGTCGGTGAGTATACTGACGGCAAGAATTTCGCGCAGGAAGCACTTGCAATTCAAAAGGAAATCGGCGACAGAGAAGGCGAGTGTGTGTCTTATAACGCTTTTGCTGTATTCTTCTGCCACCAGGGTCAATATGCCAAGGCTGTACAATGCTTAAGGGAGTGTCTTTTGATAGCGAAAGAAACGGGACTCAAGGAAGCAGAAACCTTTTGTTATGAAAACCTAGGAAATGCTTACTGTAATCTTGGAGAATATGCCGAGGCTAAGAAGAATATTGAAACAGCACTTACAATAAGTAAAGAAACTGGGGATATCGAACAACAGTTTGCGTGCCATTACCACCTCGGATGGATTATGATGTTTGAGGGAAACACAGAGAAGAGTATTTCAAATCTCTTTTCTAGCATCCAACACTGCGAGGACTTACGCAGTTTTTTAGGGAACCATGAACCGCATAAGGTGTCTCTTTTAGACAAACACTTCCCTCCCTACCAAACTCTCAGTAAGGTGTTTTGTAAGAGAGGAGATTATGTTAAAGCATTGTACGTTTTAGAACTTGGACGAGCCAGGGCTTTAACAGAGTTAATGTCAACTCAGTATTTTGCTGGAAAGCAAATTACAATAGATCCACAATCATGGATGGGCATTGAGGGGATCATCAAGAAAGGAAGTAACTTTACTTGTCTATACATATCATATTTCGTGCTGGATATTTATTTGTGGATTTTGAATCAGAAACAGTCAGTGCATTTCCGACATATAAAGAAAAATGAAACTGTTTCGACTATCGGACCGGTGGGAAATTTGAACGCCTTTCTAAGAAACCCACGCGTTAGAGGGTGTCAGAAGCTACCTCAAGGGCATTGCGAGGATCGATCAATGTTCCCTTTGGTCGCTTGCTCCTCGTCATTTCAAGCTCAGGAAGATATAGTTGCAGCTCTCCGCCTTGTTGAATTGGATGAAGACGATCAAGAACAAGAACCGAGACCAACTCTTGAGCTACTTTACAAGATTTTCATCGCTCCAGTGGCTGACCTGCTTGACGAGCCCGAAATTCTCATTGTTCCTGATCGTTCCTTGTACAAAATTCCATTTGCAGCGTTGAAGGATGAAAATGGGAGTTATCTTTCAGAGACTTTCAGGATCCGCATTGTTCCATCTTTGACGACTCTTAAGCTCATTCAGGAGAGACCAACAACCCAGTGTAATGATAGGAGTGTGTTGATAGTCGGTGATCCTGATGTTAGCTATGTGAGTGAGTTCTCTCAACTGTCTTTTGCAAGAAAGGAAGCGAAAATGATCGCCGAATGGTTGGGTGTTCAGCCTTTGTTAGGGTGTCAAGCAACAAAGCAGGCGGTACTTGAAGCGATGCATTCAGCAAGTTTGATACATTTTGCTGCACATGGTGATGCCGAAAGAGGAGAAATTGTTCTTGCTCCAGTGCGACCTGTCAACAGGACTTTGAATCAAGACGATTTCGTGTTAACAACGGCTGACGTTTCCGAAGTTAAACTTACGGCGAAACTAGTTGTTTTAAGCTGTTGTCACAGCGCACATGGACACATTAGAGCTGAGGGAGTGGTTGGAATTGCTCGAGCGTTTCTAGGATCCGGTGCACGCTCAGTGTTGGTGGCGTTGTGGGCCATAGAAGACAAAGCAACAGAGCAGTTGATGGGACGTTTCTACGAGCACCTTGTGTGTGGTGAAAGTGCAAGTGAATCTCTTCACAAGGCTATGAAGTGGATGCGAGAGAACGGCTTCCCTGAAGTGAGGGAGTGGGCTCCTTTTATGCTGATTGGAGACAACGTGACGTTTGATTTCAGAAAGTGAAGGTTAGTCTTTTGACGCAGAAATATAAAAAACATATTCGTGTGCATAGTTTGTCAGTTGAGATTCTTTGTTTCACCATTTTCAACAACAGCCTGGTTCCCAGGGTTTTCCTTAAGAAAATTGGGAGAGGTGGCCCCTCTCAATTTCCAGAGAGAAAAATTGCGAACGAGCTTGCTTCAACAAGCAATCCGGCTCTACTTGTTTGAATGCAGTATTGTTTCACGTCAAGTCACACGAACAATGGTTACTCGTCATTATTTCCTAGTTTCTAAAATCCTGTCCCCGAGTTTTCAGATATGAAAATTTCTGAGATTTTTTGTTTACGTTTGCATTAAGGAAATGTGGTACCGGGCCAAACGGGGTGGTCTTGAGGCGTGGTTTCACAGTCAGGTTACAGGCTTAGATTAAATGTAAGGCGTCTCTCTTTCATAATGCAATCTTTACAGGTAGCTATTTTGACTCCTGAAGGAGGATCAAGAGGTTGTCCCTATATTAAGAACTCCCCTTATAGATAACCCATCCAGCTCCGGAAAGGTTGGCCACACTACCGTGGTCTACGTCCCCGCTCTTTTCGAACAGTTGTGTGGGTTCTTTTACGTTCCACAAGAGCCAGATACGTGAAAATGCTGTGGGACGGGATCTTCAGTTTTTCGTCCTTATTCGAGAAGACTAGAAACATGCAGAACGTTTAACCGCTTGTAAATGCGTCATTACATGGCAGCACTTTCTTCTCGAGTTTTTCAAAGACCCTGAGTGTTGTGTTGGTCTGGCCTGGGTTGATCTCGCAACCTCCCGCTCAGCAGACCGGAATTCTCCCAACTGAGCTAGAGCGTTTAGTCTCTCACAAAATATATTCCGCCTGTACTATACGTATGCAAACATCGGCATTTCGCGACAAGAGAGCTGTTGTGATTTGGTCCTTATTTGGTCATGTATGAAGCAGAAAAGTACGTTTTCTGAGAACCTTTATTGCTCCATTTCTTGTTCTCAGTCTAAGTAATGGCAACGGATTAAAACTAAACTAGAAATTTGACAAACCCCGAGGTAAAGGTGTATAGTAGTACACCTTCAATGCAATGATTTTTGAAATCGCCGAGACCAGGAAATATGCTTTGGATGCTTTGACTAGTACGATGGTTACCATATAAGTGTAAGGGTGAGTTCTGCAAGTAATGATTAAGTTTGTGTCGCTAATAAATGCATTGTTAAGTAGGTTTCAATGACGTGTTTGACAGGAGGATTACTTGCTTTATTCGGAGTTCCATGGATCAATAAAATGAATGGTGTACCTTATTGTTACTGAAAAATGTTAGTTAGTCAGATGTGCTTCATAAATCAGATAAATATAAACGATTTAACAGGCCATTTTTTTGTTCTTTTTTTTGTTCCTCGCAGGAGTAACTCGATTGAAGGTAGACGAAGGAAAAATGGACTCGGCTCCAGGAAAATTGTAAATACAGTACTCCCCTGGAAGCTCAAACTTGTGTGTTTTGTGGAATTGTTGAAGTTTGTTTGACGTTGTCCAAGGGTATTTACCTGTTAATATTTAAGTAGTTAAATAGTCTTCAAGCAAAAGAAAAGAGTGATAGAAATAGTCAAATGTAAGTAAAATGTACAAAAACACACGACGTGGGTGTTAATAACCGACTTGTTGACTAAGCCCAGGCTTGCTAGTATGAGCGGAATATTTTAGGTTTTTCTTAACTTTTCCAGTTTAATTGCTTATGTCCTAAAGAAGAAATAATCATGGTTTTGAATTGTAACATGTTAATTCATTATTCAGTTTCTCAGTTTAAAATAGACTTGTCATCTTGAATCCTTTGAGAACTGTGTTTTCGTCAGATCGATTTCAAACTTTTTTTCCAGTCGTAAATTTCCCATTTACGACTTTTCCTGCCCCGCCCACTTTCCAAGGGAAAAGGGCTGGGGACGAGGTTAAGCTTTTTCATTTGTGTACATGTTAGAATCCTTTCACAGGTTAAACTAGAATCTGAACTATTACGGCAGAAAAGTCAAGTTTTGCTGGGATTCTAACCTGGTAACGTAGGACGAACACTGGTTTAAGCTGAGAAAGGATTTTATCTACAACATTTAAACACTCGTGTAAAACTCGTTATTGTAGTGTTTCTCTTGTATAAAATCCAGAATAGTTTTAACCATATAATTGGTGTAAGTCCCTTTGGAGTTAAGAGTGAAATTATAGACTGTTTAACTTGATATATTTTTTCTGTTTTAATAACCTTAAAGTTTTGCTGACCGGCTTTATTGCAATTTCACTAACAATTCTTGTAGAGGTTAGCCCAACCGTGTGCAATATGTAATAAAGCAGTTTCCCTCGGCTCTGACTCTCTTTTTTTGGAGAAGAAAGTAATATGGCCACATCAGGGTTATGGGCTCCTGGTCATATTGTTTTTATCGAGAGTGCTTGGCTTTAAATTGGTGTGATGATACCTTACGATGCAAAAGTAAAATGTATCGCCTTACCGTTTTGATTCTTTAGAAAACAGAAAAAAGCTGTCCATTTGAATTCTTGGAGGACAGAAGTACATTGAGAAAACTTGTGGAGCGTTGTTGTTTTGCTTACCAAAACTGTACATGAGTTTTGTCGTTCCCTTTCCCGCCGTAATTTCGTAAGGTCCCTCAGTATTAGATTACGAATACAGCCACCCATTTCATACAAGTCTACCTCTTTCACTGTTAAAGTGCTTAAGAACTACAGATGGGTGACCAGAGAACAGAGAGGGCGTGGATCATTGAATTTTCTGCCTCTCTTTTTGGAATTTAATTCGATTCGGCTGATGTGAAGTAGGGCGCCTTAAACGGGCGTTTAAGGAGTGTGCTAAACTTTTCTTGAGCTTAAAGTAGGGATGCCATTAGGTCGAATCATTGCGAACTTCCAACGCTTTCTGAAAGCCTGTTGACAATGAATGGACGAATCAATCAATGAATCAATGAATAGACGATAAAAAGCGATACTTCCATTATCACCTGTGTAATGTAGGTCGCGTAGTAAACTCTCTACTGGGACTTTTATGGTACTGACCATGAAGGTAGAAAAGGCTACTAGAATTTTTTTTCCTGATAGTTTGACATTTCAGCCGCCTGTTATCTACAGTCGCGTTTAAGATAACATTGGAACTATTCAGGGCTATTAAATTAAATATTTCAGTTCGCACTTGTTAGCCTGTAGACACACTCATTTCCGGTCGTCGCTTCTCTCCACCCGTTACTTTTCGGGTGGAGAGGTCAGCGATGACCGGAAATACGTCTGTGTCCGCAGGCTAGTGAGGGCAATGCCCATTCAAGAAATGCCTTCCATCTATGTCAAAAAATACAAAATAGTAGACGAAACTCACGGAAGGCCTTGTGTGTCCCATTCTCCTTTCAAAGGAGCCGATTTTTGCGGGGAGGGGACGGGTCATGATTGTTAAGCGTTGAACAGGTTGAAAACAATGGCAATCGTTTCTTGTTTCAAAAGGCTAACTTGCTTTTTCATAACGGTAGAAGTTACTATACTGCCCCGGCTTAAAAACGCGCTGTCAGCAGACCAATGAACCCCAGTTGTGGGAGTCTTACAATAGAATGTGATAGAATAGAATAATTTATTTAATGTCGAAGACGTGGGAAGTGTTTGCACAATCTTCCGACACCGGATAACTCTAACTAAACTCCGTCTAAGTAATCACAAATTGGCGATAGAGACAGGTCGGTATATATGTAAGTACCTTATAAGAAACCGGAAGAGAGGATCTGTCCTATCTGTAAAAAAGACGTAGAAGATGAAATACACTTTTTAACCTGTGCCCTGCGTATCAAGAAAAAAGAAGTACTTTATTTGATTACTTAAGAATACAGAATATCAGTAAACAGAATGGCACCAGATGATGTTTTTCTGTTGTTAATAGGGAGCTTAAGCAACAGCGTTTTTGAGCGACGGACGTCAACCGGAAGTGGACTTTTTGCATCATTGGGGAGTGGTTTGGTTGAAACTCTCGGGTAAATCGTCTTTAAAAGAGAAAAGAAACTCAGCAATACAAGTTTGTTAGCGTCAAGGCATATAAAAAGGGAGAAGGCCTCACTTCCGGTTGACGTGCGTCGCTCAAAAACGTCTTTGCTTAAGGTCCCTATTAAACTCTCCGAGCAAGAACAAACCAGTGCAAAAGTTAATTGCAAAATACATTAGCTCTTTAGGTTAACATTGATCATAGTTTCACTAGTGTGCAATTTTTGTTATGATTTTAAATTATTTGGATAAAGTAGATGTACATAGGACTGTATAAAACTCCAAATAAAACATTGTTTTGTCTTGTCTATCATTTCCCATAATTCTCTACACTATGACGTTTGAAATCAGCGCGCGCGGTAGAAGTTGTTTTCCGTGGTCGGTTAATTTTCTGGGTTTCTTTTTGGCGGCCTGCAGCAAAGTTTTCCGGAAGGCATCATTACGCCTTACGAAGGAAAAAGTCTCACGATTGGCAAAGTCTGCCGTCGTCCAATATATTACCGTATTTCGTCTCGTTTTGGCTTAACGGGTGAAACACTGATCTCGGGCTTGAGACGGAAAGGCATCATAATGCGAGCTTTGATGTGGGCGGTGACGAGTCTCTGGCCTCAAAAAGTAGCTTTTAGGAGTCAAAACTATTCGGCGAGAGCAAAATTGATGCTGATTTCTGACCAGGCCAGAGACTTAGTAAAAATTTGTTTTGAAGGCCTGCGTCCATGTGTCCCTTTCAAAACGGCTCGTCTACATCCGGGATCTTGAATAAATCGACTGTGTCAGCAAAGTTTACATGTGGATTTATGTGGAGAAAGCGAGAGTTATTGAGAGAGAGAGTAATTCAGACATATCTAATCCATGACATCAATGACATCAATGAAATCAATGAGTAATCAATAGGCAATCGATAGGTAATCAGTTCATTAGTCGTTGATTATTGCCGATGATCAATGAGTAATCGATGACTAATCGATAGGCCACAAAATTTTTGGTCATCGATTGC